TTAATTTAATGTGATTGCATAAAATTTATTAGAACGTTAAGTATACACGAGAAATACATATTGTAGATATTGTATTATGATATTTATGTATCATCGACATTTAATATATAAGCAATCATCCTTATACTTTTTTTTTATTAAATTAGCATGCATAAATACATTATATATTTAAACGTATAATAAAATCCTTACATTTTCATTTAAGTTTATTTTAACTAATTAGTATAGTTTAAAATTGTTTTAAGAATAACTGTAAGATACTATAATATATAGCGTAATCATAAGTCAGATTACTTGGCATAACGCTCTTAACTTATTTGTTGATTTAGATTCATACTTCAAGTCGTCGAGCTTATCAAACCTGACACTCTATATCATATTGAAAATAAATTAAAGTCTAAATTTAGAGCGTGCCTTAGGGGAACATAATATTCCATATTTATATCTTCTTACGTTTTATATAGCTATATAATAATTTGATGTTTCAAAATCTATAGAAATAAACAAATCGACATGTATAAGATAAATTATATTTGCTGATTTTCAAATAGATTTGGATAATATTTTCTACAAAAAAAAAGTTATTTAGTAAGATTTCGGATTACACATACCCTTTATAAATAATTTATGTAATCTGCCTCAAATCACTTACAAACTAATGCGATGTAAAATACGTAGTATCTGTATTCATTGAAATTTAAAATACAATCGATTTCCCTTGTTTGACATTTTAATAAGTAAAGATAAATATATTCTGTGTCGAAAATATAATATAGATAGGTAGAATAGGTACTAATAATAGAAAATAAGTAATGTCTATATTGGATACTATGTTTTATCACTATATAGCTTGGAAGTTAAAATGACAATGACGATATTTGGATTATCGTTTAGTTGAATCTATTTTTTTCAATTATCATTATTTCTTTAATTATAAACAATTTACATACTTAAAATTAACGTTGTTTTTAATTTAGTTATGCTTAAATGGTAGAACGGATGTAATAATAAGTGTAGATAATTTCCTAGACTCTAATAGAGATATTTGGACAAATCCGCGAGATTAAAACTATTAAAGAACTATTAAAAGAATATTTATTTGTAACTTCTACAATTTAATTATCTAAATACTTGTAAAACAGGTAAAAAATGATTCAAAATCGATAAACTAGTGAAAATATCGCGCAACAAACAAAAAACAGAATCGATTTGAGTTCATCCATTCATCGAATAAAAAATAAAGAATTAATTTGATATATACTAACAAAAAGCCAGTTACATTACAACACAGTATAGAAAATCTTTTTTTAGACTACCGAAAAAATAATTTGTTGCCTTTTAAAATAGGTAAAATTCAATTTCCATCATACGGACCACTTACTTCAAACGATTAACAAGATAAATTCTCGTTTGTCCGTCCAGACCATCGCTTAAATTACATAAAGTATTTTCTATAAAAGAAAGAAGAGAGTCAATTTTGATGAACAAGGGCAAGAGTGTCCATCCAGTATTATGTTTCTTGAAGTGTAAAAATATTGGTATTCTTATATTATCGGAGTAGTTCAAGCTTAAAATAGTTTTGGGTTTAGTATTAATTTTTTGTATAAAGAATCTTGATCAGCTCATTTGAAAAGTAGAAATTATAGGTACAATTTGATACTTTAAAGTTACATGTATCTTGTGAACAAAAATTTAAGCTTAATATTTGATAATTTTACCAATTAAATAATCTAATAATGCCGTCCTTCAAATTTTGTCCTTATTCTGCAATTCGTGGTGATTAATCAAGCATTTGTTTTTAGTAATATAAACATTTTTTTAATGGGTGATGATGGAATAGTAACTCCATCTGCGCTTTCGGTATACGCTGGCGGGGCACCAGTGAGTGATGATAGGTGAGAATGAAAAGACAGGTCAGTTAGCCTATCGTATTGAATACACTTACCAGAGGGAGACTTTGTACAAAAGTCGATTGCTTGGGTACCTCTGTCCCATTCGTGTTTCAACCGTGAAGCAGTTGTGTTTGCATGGCTGTGTTTCGGTTTGAAGGGTGGGATATGGCGTGAATTTACTGGGTACAGAGGAATAACACCTGAGTCCTCAGGAATGGCAACGCATGGGGGGTATCATGGGCGAAACAGTATACTCTGTTATGTCCATGGTACTGCTCATGTCTATAGGCGACGGTTACCACTTTCCATCAGGTGGGCCGTCAGCTTGTTTGCCATTCTAAGTTATATAAAAAAAAAAAAAAAAAAAAAAAAAAAAAAAAAAAAAAAAAAAAAAAAAAAAAAAAATTGGAATTCAGCACGATGGTTTCCAAGGAGGACCACGTGGAGGTCGACCTGTTTGCTAGCAATGGGGTCCTTACTCCCCATTATTAATAATCCTTCCCACCCGTAATATATACATTAGAAGATTGTTCATACTCGTATTTACTCAGTAGATATATAAGTACCTACTTTAAAATTAATGTTCTGTCAACATTATCATCATCATATCAGCCATAAAAAGTCCACTGTTGAACATACGCTCCCTCTTAGGAGGTTTTACGAGTAGTTGCCAAGCTTGACAGGCAGATTGGCAACTATAGTCAGTCCTCAGTGATGTTTTAATAGGGACACTGCTGCCCATCTTTCGACCATTAAATTTCCTTATCGGCATCTTACGACACCCACGAGAAAGAAACGGGTGGCCCATTTTATGCCAGGACTACATGCCTATATCATATAGTTTATAAACCCCTCTTATTTAATTTATTTTATTAAAACTAGATACAAGCTTGCAACAGGAAAGATCTGCATAAATAAAGTATTAAGTATTATTAAGTATGGTAATACCCACTTCAATTAAATAAAAAGGTATATGAAGGAAATATCTACTTTACGTTAAATTTAAAGGGAAAGAGACCGGATAATCGTTCTACCTACGCAATACTCATGAAAAATTATGTCACTACGTAACTTGCTTCTAGTATCTACTATATTTTTTTACATAGAAGCAAAAGATTGTGTGGGATTCTATGAGCATTTACATAACGAAAACAATATTACACTTTTAATCTGGTGATGCGGTTTTATTCAACCATTATAACCTCAATCGATAGACTGATTACACTCGCGTCCTACGAACGAGAAAAAGAAATTAATTATCAAGCATACAGGAACGGCAGTAACAAAATTGAAATAACAGCATAAATAATTACAATTGTGCTATGTGCATGAAGTATATGGATTTATTTTAAACCATTTATTTATTTTGATTGATTTATTTAGAGTATACTCTGTTATGTCTATGGTATTGTGTTGTTATAGGCAACGGTTACCATTTTCCATCAGGTAGATCGTCGGGTTGTGTCGCTTAAAAAAAATAATCTGTGTGGATTTTATATTACTGTTTATAATCTTAAAGGACGTAATTATAATATTACGAGTAAAAAATAATCACTAATTTTAAGTCTTCAAAATGCAGGAAGTTCTAAATTTGTTTGTTTATTTTTTTTTGTTTTGAAATCAAATATTTTGATCGGATTTTTTATTTTTGTAATCGCTAGAGTAATTCTCATATTGGTCATACATTATCTTTTTAATAACTAAATCTGTTGTGCTGAATTGTTTATTTTAATTTCATTGCAAACTAAAATTTACTCGTGAATTCATGACACTGCATTCTAAATAAAAATATTTTTAATGTCAATGAAAAATGTCGTCGTTTGTTTATAGCGTTTATAAAGAATAGGTAAACCAAAGTCCATACATTAATTCCCTTTTGTTTTAATTAAATGAACTCATGATACCCAAAAGCGTGACGATTTAACAATAACGGTTGTCAAGTAAATTATGATGTGGTTTACTTACTATTGTCTTCAAGCTTCAAAGGATATTACACACAGAATCACGTTATTAGACTACCGTTATTTGCAGTTAACAGCAAACTCTGTGAGCATAAACCTGTTTAAATGCCTCGCATTCGAAAATGATTACAAGATATAGTATTCGTTAGTACTTGCTATGTTAATAGGGTAGATTTTTATATCTTATACCTTACTACCCACTTAATGGTAAAACTTTAAGCTTTTCTTGTTTAGTCCCTTTGCCTTTCAATCTATTAGAGAGGAAAAACAAAGAACCTAACGCATAGTTTCTATTTTTGTTGTCTTTTTTATAACATAAAAGAAAAGAATACAAAAACAAACGAACAGTGACATAGATATTATACACCTCATGACTTGCCATTCGTTAGGACTGTGGTGTTGTCGCAGTATCTTGTCTTTTCACTGCAAAATAAAAAACATATTTAATGTAAAAGGTAAACCTTTCAAAGTGAAACGTAACCAAGACAGATCTCTGGCAATTGTTAACCGATTTGATATGTTTTTTTTTAATAAAATAGTTAGTGCTTATGTTAATCCCGCAGGTATTATCCTTAATATATATGTTGATTCCGTGCTAATGTCAGTTAGTTGTTTTGAAAAAAATTTTAATTATTCAATTGATATGTATTTTATTTATGTCTGTCTTGAATATAATTCTGTTTACCTTCCTACTTCTAAATAACATTTTTCCACTGTACCTTCATTTGTTTGGAGTTCACGTACTAAAAGAGAGGATTTGGGTGTAGGTACATTTAAAGTTACTCAGTAGACTACGTTTATCTTGAATTATGGGATATTAGTTTGTCGGGTGCATTCATAAAATTAGAACCCACACAAAGAGATCATAGTGTAAGAGACTCCTTTTAGACGTAAAGCCAATTTGACCCCATTTTCTTATATTTTTAGGTTAGGGTAGGTGAAAATCTTAGATTATAGTGAAAATGTATCAGGAACGAAAATATCTTTAATCATGAGATTTAAGATTGATAGAATTTTTAATTTATACATAATTATTGAACATAATAAATGCAGGTGCCTCAAAACTATTCCGTTTAGTGTATTGATTTACTATAGTAATAATTTATTAATATTAATATTTACTTAACCGAAAGTCTTTTATCTACAGGGCAAAGAACATGACCGCTTAAGGAACCCTGCGCCTCAGCTCTCTTGGTTTTCGAGATATAGACGCCTATCTCGTCCATCTCACCGCGTTATAGATCCTAATGAAGGTAGGTATGTGTTTTGCTTAATACAGCTGATAGAAAAATCACTTGGATTTTTGGATAGAACTCGATAATAATTTTCGTTGATATTTCCTAAACTAACTTTTCTTCCTAGCCTTTTGTGTTTACTTAGGACACGTCGTATCAAATATAGGCAATATTAATAACAATTCGTAACCGTTCGTAATACACATAATATATAGGTTCTTAATTATTCTATATCCAGTCGTTCAGTAATATTTGGACAGAAGCGACGGAAAATCAATAGTTTTGCTACTCAAAGAAATCAAACCCTTGAAACTTATGACCGTGGGTTTAAGATTTTATGTTCTATTCTATACAGATGTTAATGTTCTTATTAGTTTCTAATGAATGGATTTATTTTCAGACTGTTTTCTAGTAACGTCAGAGGAGGGTGAACTGTTTTACAAATCGCCGTCCGATGAGCCAAATGTTTGCGGAATATACATGATAGCTGAACCTGATACCAGGATCCAGGTCACTTTCAACTACCTGGATGTACCCTGTGACAATGGTGGACTTGTGGCAGTAAGTTATTAATTTACTCTATTTTTCATTTCTATAGTTTATAAATTCAGTGCTTAGTTAGTTTAGTGTGTTACTCACTACTTATATTTAAAAAAATGTATAGGTTTATTTCTACATTATCAACAGTAGGTATATTACATTATTATTATTAATGGATAATATTACAAATTCTTATAGGTTTTACTAACTCATTAGTGGAAATAAGTTCTTTTCAATCAGTTCTTAGAATCGTTTTTTGCAGAAATGTAACTGGATCGTTTCATTTTCCGGAAACCCGAATATGATTTAGCTCTACACATTAATCACACAAGCATGATCTTCCAAATACGAGTATATATATAAACTTTCACACATATATTTGCTTGAAAACTACATTTTTTAATTGTCATAATATATTTTTTGTCAGATATTAGTTCTGTGGTTGCCTATCTCAAATTATTACAGAACGTAACTGAACTTTATTAATTCCTATGTTTATCAAATTATATTTGAAATCTTTTTTTAGTAGTAATAAAAAATAGTCCTAAAATTCCGGTAACCACATAAACGGTATTGCATACTCTAAGTATAAGAATCGTCAATCTCGTAGTTTACTCACTTTTAAATGTTCTTGTTTCATAGATGTACGCCAGTTGTCAATAGTTATTTTAGACTTCTTCGTCAAGCAGTACGAGTATATATACGATTTATCTTATTACGATAGATCTCGATATTTTCAGGAAGGTTTCTCCTTCTATTTTTGTATTGTAAGTGAGTATACATGTTTAGTAATAATCCTTTTATCTTAAATTTTTTCTATATTTCAAACTCACAGTAACATGTCCTTTCTCACTTTTACACCGACACTTGCCAAGCAAATTGCTTTCGCACTATGTATTACCTTCGTATCTGTTTACTAGGCGGATTGTTCGTAAGTCTAGTAACCCAACTCTTTTGCATTATGCAAAAGAGTTAGGTTGTGACTGTGTAACAGTTTTATTTTTGTTTATCTAATAATATTATTATCAGATAGACAAAAAGATCTATCTAATAATAATATCATAGGTAACATCTAACTTTATATACTTCTTTAAAACTATTTCTATTGTAGTTATTACTTTTTTTGTCAATAATGCCAAAAAGTAATTTTTATACGTTATACAAACCATTCTCTTTTATAGTTTCTGTTATTCATAGGAGCTATCTAAATAAGGATTATTATTCGACAGATTTATTTTAATATAACTTTGTTGAATTTTATGCTTTACTTGTATATTACGGTAAAGCCTGTCTTTTATAACTACGAGATCTTATATGTACATAATAATCTCTTTAGGATTATCATATACTGTGCCGCGCGACGTCAACTGTAAATTTGTAATAAGGAATCGACATGTTAAGGGGTTATGTTACCTATATCTTGTAATATATTTCAGATAAAACATACCTACGATAGTTTCTAAATATAAAAAAATTTGTATAGAGACAAATAAATTTTTAAATGTATATGTCTCTATAGGACTTATTGTGTATTTGTAGTTCTAAGTAATTATGCTTTATTGTACTTCGTACCTATTTACCTGTAGATTCTGCAGTTCGCTATTAAATTGGCAATTTATACAATGTTATTCATGTATAAATTATTGTAGCAGTGCTATGTCATAACCAGACAATTAACCTTTCTATTTGTCGATCGCAACTAATTAATGTGTTTTTCCTGCTTTTATTTCTCGCGTATATGTACATATACAATAATAAAATTTAGATATAGATGATGTGTGTACTGCAGTAGGATACACATATATATATAGTGTAATAAAAACAAAAGAAGTGAAAACCATAATTTTTTGATTTGTCTGTTTTATCTATCTGTAATTTGTTCCCGAATCACGCAAAGACTACTGCGTCAAATTGAATGTAGTTTTCATAGTTGTATTTCTGAAAGTCGAACTTAAAATCTAATGTTACCTACATAGATTTTATCTTGATTCGCCATCTAATATCCACTCATACGATGTCACAAGTAAAAGCTAGTTCAGTATATATTCACAAGCACGAACATTTTGTTCTATTAAAGGAGACGAAACAACAACTTAATGAGGTAACATGTTCATACATTTTTACTAATTTGTTGTGTCATGTCTGATAAAACTGGAAGAAGAAATAAGTTTAAGATGTTTATTTTTCTCTGGGTTTTATACAGGTACTTTAAGGTTAAACCCTGCACTAGATTAAAAAAAATAACGATTTAAAGTGCTTGTAAACAAGTCTATTTTATTAACAATGATTAGAATTTGAATTTATTAAAAAAATGTATTATTTGCCGAATGGAAAAATTGAAGAAAAATTACGAAAAAGATACACCTAGTGTGCGAATGAGTGAAGATGCCGGTAGTGGCCGCTTTAGATGTTTTAAAAGTGAACCAAGTGAGTTTGTATTAATTGATGAATATAGATACGGTGAAAGATCACAGAATTTGACGTTCCATTATTTTTACCTAATGGGAGATGGTCGTGATGTATGTATATGTGAATACTTATATACTAAGATATATGTTAATAAAATGAAACTAAAAATTCTAGTATCTTTATTAATTCATATAAACTTGTTTTATAACAGTATAGCATAATAAGAAATTATTTACTTATTGCAATCCTATATTAACTGTACATGAAGAGAGTATGGTATTTATATAATTATTAAGAGTATGCATCATTAAAATAAGCATTTTTCCATAACGTTTCTTGCGCCAAAATAATTCCAGTCTTCTTTCTTTTTTTCTCTAACAAAGATTTTCTAGAAGAAATCGCTTTAGTGATAATACTTCATTTTGTACTTTATAATTGTATTTTTTCTGGTATAATAAAAAAATAATAATTAAATAACAATAATAATATTACGGTACTCTGCGCTTCATACAGATTGTGTCTGTTAATCCATTAAGAACATTATGTGTCTAGACATGAAGACAGAATAATCTATTTCATTGCATTTAGTTAATACCAGTAGTACATTTTTCAATTTATTTTAAACTGGGTTAATTATTAAGTATTAGCTTATATCTGCGACAATTTTCGCGTTATCCGGATATATCGATTAAATAAAAAAATAGTAACCAATGTTCCTAGTGTAGTAATTTTATCGATGGTATATAGTACAAATAAGTACATTTAAGAAGTTAAGAGATAATAATTTAACTCATATTCATATTTATAATAAATACCCTACTCATTTATTTTAAATGCCGCGGGGTCCCGGCATAGAATAGGCCACCTCTTCCTTTCCCGTGGTTGTCGTAAGGGGTGACTAATGGAATTTAATAGTCGAGGAATGGGCAGTAGCGTCCCTGTTAAAGCATTACCAAAAGCAAAACTATGGTTGCCAATCCTCTTGCCAAGCATGGTTACTGATAAAATCTCCCTAATAATAAACCGCTATACAAATGGTCCTGTTCCTTATGGCGGCGGACAAATGATGGCTGATATGATGATGATTTATTTTAATAATTTGAACTGGCAATATGTTACATTTATAGGTATTACACAAATGTAAGTGGCCGATATTACGTTACTGCTAATCCAATTGTTTTGCAATATACCTAGATACCAATTAGTTGTTGATGATCGGACAAATTTATCTAGCCAGTTAGAATCCTAATTTATAATATAGTGACAGATAATTACGTTATTAATAAAGTTATTACTTACTACTAAACATTTACTCGACTTGGAAATACCCAAGATTTCCGAGTCGAAAGATTAAGTACTGCACCTTCTGAAGACTAAGTTCTCCTCAGAAAGAATACCTCATCTCTAAAGTGAGATATTGTATAAGAAAATTATTTATACTAAAACGTTTCTTTATTTAAACTTATGATTCATAATTATTGCTTTGATAATTATGCGTATATCGTATTTTACCTATTATAAGAATATGTCATAGTCAACATACTTATTTATGTTGTTAATTTTTATTTTATGTAAAGAAGTAGCCATCTATGTAGAAATAACTGTTTCCCAAAATGTTACTCTGAAAAACGGACAACGACGTTTTCTATTAAACTAAAAGCCAAATTACTAAAAAGGGGCGACCGCAGGTCAGTCTATTACGAAATAAATTTCCTCGTTTTTCTCAAAGTTACGTAAAAAATAGGGAAAAAATAATTTGACATTCGATTTTATTCAATCGCCTTTCAATTGATGGTGGGTAAATAAAGGAAAAATATGAATTAGTATTAGTATTAGCGCTTGAAGATGAGAATTAGTTCTTGGTAAATAAAATTCGATATCCCTGCCTTTATTTTATATTGAACGAAGCGATAATAAAAATTATGTATGCTGTACCAAAGCTATCACTTAACAAATTTGAATATTTGACATCTAACTGGTGAACGGTCGACGTCTATGGTTTTCTAATGTTACAGGTGCAGGTTTCTATTATAATTTTAACTATGCATGTGCTTGAACAATTAAAATGATAATTAGTTATTTCCATTCATAACATTTCACAGATCCTTAATTATTATTATAATACCTCAATTAAAAATTATTTTTAATTATAAAAATTAAAGATTTGTTATAATACTTATAACAATATACGTGTACTATAATATAAACATCTTTGAATAATTTTAAAACTCTCTAAGATTTGGAATAAAAAAATAAGTAATTAATTGTTTATTTCATTTTTGGTAATATATTTATATATTGCCAGTGTAAATGTTTTTCATTTCGTGCATATCAATAATAATCAATGTGAAAAATATCATTTTTTCATGTAAATATGCCCAACAATTAACAAACACAAAATTTACTTTATAGTTATATCATTAAATAAAATATTAAGGATAAAAATATTGTTTGACTTAAATAAAGTTGGTTAATTAAATTTTACAAGATAATGTTCATGTCCAACCAGCGTAGTTAGGTAAGTGCTTATGTACCGAAATGAATTAAAAGCTCTTTGGAAACTTCAGAACAGATACTTCGAATTATTAATAATATAGTACATATTATTTAATTAGTAATACGCTATGTATTGTTGTTATCAATGAAGTAATATGTACATTATTAAATTTAGTGGCGACTTCGTTCACGCGATCTGGATATATTAAATGATTAAAAACCTACACCCTTCTTCAATCAAAATACCATTTACAGGATCGTTTTTTTACTAATTTTCTTGAGAATTCCTTGAGCTGTTAATATACTAAAAACACACTTTCACATTTATATTATTAGTAAAGGTTATTATTATTAGTATTTTTTTTTTATACTAATTATAAATTTACGAATGTTACAATTGTGTGTAAAGTAGACTGTTATTAATATTAGAAAGGAGATTTTATTGTCGAAATATGTAACGTCATATATAATATTATTGTCAGTTGAGTGGAATAGATGCTCTGCAATAGAAACAGAAATAATTAAATAAGGTTTTGAGTATTGCAGGGTGAGGACAGTGAATAGGATTATTATTACACTAGTTTGGGCATGTTGACAAGATGAATAGTAACTGATTATGTAAATAGATTTATGGGAAAAAAGTAGGGCGAGGACAAATTAATCGCGGTCCTTGTCGTTACCGAGTAAATTGGCAATATTCGTAAAGGAATTTAATTTATGGCTGCACGAGACTAGACAGCATGCATACAACTTTTATATACCATGACTTTAAAGCTATGGTTGTATTAGTGTTTAATTATAGAAACAAAAAACATATTTAGTTGAAAGAAGAAAAGAGCGAATTTAGGAAATTACTAAAATTTAATTACTAATATAAAAAACAGTGTTAGTGACATTACTATTTGTCTTATATGATATCTTAGGATCTATTTAAGGTATAAAATCGCAACAAAAACTATAATGATATACGTGAATTTACTGGGTACAGAGGAAAAACACCTGTGTCCTCAGGAATAGCAACGCATGGGGGTATCATGGGCGAAACAGTATATTCTCTGTTATGTCCATGGTACTGCTCATGTCTATAGGCGACGGTTACCACTTTCCATCAGGTGGGCTGTCAGCTTGTTTGCTATTCTAAGTTGTATAAAAAAAAAAAAACACGTTTTTTTTTTATATATATATATACCCAATATGTTTGTGAATGGTATAAAATATACTATATACAATTGTTGTCTGTAACATGTCGATAGATGCAATAAAGTTGTTCGTATTGTATATCCAATAGGTAATAGGTAACAATGTTTAATGTCAACTTCGTATTAAAAACTAAGTAACTTTTTTGTAATAAAACGTACATAAAAATTATAATTTTACTTAGGTAATATCTAGATTATATGTTTGTTTAAGTCTAGATTAATATTGTACGATATTATATACGAGTTGCTAAACCATACATCATCATTATCATTTTCATCATCATATCAATAATTGTCTATCCACTGCTGAACATTGCCAGTAGTTATCACGCTTGGCAGATGGCTTGGCAGCCGCAGTTGCAGTGTCTCTTACTGATATTTTAAAAGGTACTCTGCTGCCCATCCCTCGATCATTGGGTTTCCTTAGTCACCTCTTACGACACCTTCAGGAAAGGAAGGGATGGCCCATTCTGTGCCGGGACCATGGACTGTCTGTAGTTTCTATTGTGTATAAATGTTTGTTTAATGGGCAATGGCCCGTTATTGTCCCTATCATTGTTTTAAAATTCTCCACTTTTTTTTAATGAATGATAATGGAATGGTAACCCCGCCTGCACTATCGGTATATACTGGCGGGGCACCAGTGAGGGATGATAGGTAAGACTGAAAAGTCAGGTTAGTTAGCCCATTGTGATGAATTCAACGATAAATTAGTTACGATGGTTTCCAGGGGGAGCCGCGTGGAGGTCGACCTGATAGAGTATATTGAAAGCAACGGGATCTAACCTCCCCATTACTAAAAATCCCTTTCTCCTTACTATATTATTAATAATCGCTTAGAGTTAACATATACAGTTGATGTTTAAAAAAGCGAGCGCTTAAATATTTATCATAAGTTAAACCTGTGGTTAAAACTAAACGACGGCGATAAAAGATAGGTAATAAATACAAATAATATGTAACATTAAATAGATAGATGTAAATAATGGTTACAACTACATAAATAAATATGAATGGATATAAACTCAATAAATATATGTATAAAAATAAATAATATAAAAGTTGATATGAATAAAATAAGAGTAAACATATTACTGCATATAAAGGGGATTATGTTAAAAAATGAAAACTTACTAACATGTTGCATCAATCCCCAAATAATGAGGCCAATACAACGTGACTACTAATGGGCTTTTATATTTACATTTATCAGCTTTTAACTGCCAGTAGTTGCCATGCTTGGCAAGCCGATAAGAAACCGCAGTGAGGCTTTAGAGATATTTTAAAAGGGACGCTGCTGCCCACCCTTTACCTTCTTAGTCGCCTCTTACGACACCCACGGGAAAGGAATGGGTTACCTGTTCTATATATACATTATAATCTAAGATTTACATGCTTAACCACGATACGTAGCTGTCCTCGATATCGTCGCAGTTTAAAATTGTCTCTATATAATTATATGTATTTTATCTCCATTTGCTCTCCTACTACATCATGCATGACGGTACTCCTGCAATATTCTTATACGCGATGTGCTATGATAAATTATAAAAGCACGTAGAGTCTATAATAATATTGACATAGTACAAAATATAATTGTATTATAATATCAGTTATAGTAAACGTGTACTGTCTGCTTGTTTGATTAAAAATGGTAATCCCCGACATTTCATACAAAACGGCAGATTTATTGCAGTCACTAACTACTATATAATATACCGATGACTTTCATAGACATACAAGTACGTATTAAATGGGGGGACGGGGATTATTAGTAGTGAGATCCAACAGACCCATTACTAGCAATATACCCTAACAGGTCGAGCTCCACGCGGTTCCTCCTGGAAACCATCGTGGTTATTTTTTTATGAATTCATCACGATGTGCTAACTGACCTGCCTTTTCATTCTCACCAATGATCCCTCACTGGTGCCCCGCCAGCGTATCCCGATAGTGCAGGTGGGGTGACCATTCCATTTTCATCCATTAAAAAAAAAGTACGTATTAAATGTGTTATATTCTTTTTTTAAACATTCATATTTGAATCACGTAGAGCGTTAAAGCGAACTCGCGACAAGGGCAGTGAGTAGTAGTAGCATAGTCATGCATCAAACACGGGTAGCGTGGACTGTCTAAGTAGTATTTTTTTTTACAGTGGGTGGACGGATGGGAACTAAATGGCCAAGTGTGGCCGGCGGACTCTTGGGACGACGACAGAGTCGTAGAATCGTGTGACAGACGACCTCAGCGAAAACTGGTGTCGCGACAAAATGCAGCTCTCATACAGTATCGAGTACCGGCTCAAGGGAAGGGTTTTGCAATTACTGTACGGCACCTGCGAAACCCTAGACGTAAGGATACGACACAGAAATTAACATAATAAATTTTGTGTTACAATTACTACCTCTTTGTTTTCAATTTTGTTGTTGCTTGGTAATTGAGAGATTTTAACCATAATAGATTATTATGTCTGTTCTTTGAATGGTAATGTAATTACAATGTGTGTATTTAATCTACGAAAATGTTGTATCAGGCCTAGATAGTCAAATTATTTGATTCAAACCATAAGAATTTATTTTGTTCTATTGAAGTCGTTTGATACTTGGTTAAAGTCTCGTTAAGTTTGACTAAATAAATAACAAGTTTGTTGAAAATTAAGAATATTATAGCTGGTATAATAATAATTTCCCACAATATATAATATATCATTGTAAGAGTCTGCACTTATTCTAGATTAGATATAACCTTTATTTAAGCTATTAAAATAAGTCGTATGACAATCTTTTTTTTTTTTTTTTTTTTTATGCAACTTAGAATGACAAACAAGCTGACGGCCCACCTGATGGAAAGTGGTAACCGTCGCCTATAGACATGAGCAGTACCATGGACATAGCAGACTATACTGTTTCACCCATGATACCCCCATGGGTTGCCATTCCTGAGGACTCAGGTGTTATTCCTCTGTACCCTGTAAATTCACGCCATATCCCACCCTTCAAACCGAAACACAGTCATGCAAACACAACTGCTTCACGGTTGAAACACGAATGGGACAGAGGTACCCAAGCAATCGACTTTTGTACAAAGTCTCCCTCTGGTATATAATCTGAAATATACTTTATATATATAAATGTATTTGGTGATCTATAAATTCTTTTGTTGCTTTCAGCATGCAACGTTATGTTGTTCGGCGCTGAGGGAGTGTACACACTGCGTAACCACGGCGAAACAGGCAACTGTTCAGTTATTGCGGTGTCGCCTACCACAGTAAGAATTTTGGATCTCAATGTGGGACAAGCGCTAAAGAGAGGTAGTCTACTTGATATTGAGACTGGAACTATACACCACGTAAGTATGCATATTAAGCTTTGCTAATTGAAATATAATTATGTTGTATGACGTTGTAACTACGTATTCTATAGTTATGTTTCATATCTGAAGCTAGTGATGCAGAATACAGTCCATTACATAAATTAGAAATGAATATTAAACAATGAAATATAACCGCGTAGAGAAATTTTATATAAAGACTGAGCTAAAATGAAATTCTATTTGTACCTGAAACTCGATCACAATGAAGAGAAACAATAAATACAACCTCGGTTTTGTTTGTATAGTGTACAAAGCGAGGTTTGCCTGATTATGTGGAAATTGGCGGAGCCAGCGGTTTGGACCACACCAAAATGGAGGTGCTCGACAGTGTTTGCGGACTCGACTCTAATGAAGGTATAGTACCTACAAGCAGACAAGGATTTTTATATTAACTTTTATATACAAATACAAGAACACTGCAATTAATTATAGTTTTTAGATATATTATACTCAACTTTTGTTAAAAAAAAAGCAACAGCTGAGTTTCGTGCCCGTTTTTCTCAGCTAAAATTATATTCCGAACTAAGCGTTAGATTCATAACAAAATGACTGTTCAAAGATACTGATAATAAAGTTTACTTAAATAACAATTTAATTTTATTATTATTGTAGTAGATTCACTTTATCCATGAAATTGTTTTGAGAAGAGAAAACTGTTATTTTAGAATTATATTCTATCAGAGATAGATTCTTAAGGGGCTGTCTCCCCTTAAGAAATAATGAAAAATAATACACGTCTTTTAGTATTATATCGAGAAAGAAATTTACTACACAAATAAAATCGCGGTTCACGTACCTTTCAAATTATCAAGTTTTATTTCAACTCATTGCTGAAACACGTGTTGTTTAATTTTATAGAACTATTATTAGGAACCTGAATTTGTTCATTTAAATACAATAAATTACATTTTTTTTTTAACTTTCGGCTACATTTTATTCATACTATAAGAAATTGATTAAATAAGCGGCATTTAAATAAAAAAATATTATGCCATACACTGTTGTCTTCGAGGGTATATAAATGCATTCGAATAACTCGTAGGTAAATGAAAAGATCCGGCTTATACTATTAATTTATTTACACAATAAACAAGAATCTAGCGTTGTTTCTCGTTAGTTAAGCAAACAACCTTACTCAAAGTGAAACTAGCTAAATATTAATAATATTGACTTAACATGGTATACCAGGGGAATTCTCTGAAAGAATATAAAAGTTAACTAGCTATACTAAAGCATTAGTTGCAATTTTATGAGTAGAAATAAAAAGCTTTCAAATAAGTGATTAAAATAGTTTATTTTACTGTCTAGTAGAAAAAACAATAATGTATTTTTTAAAAAACCATGTAAAGATTAAATATCTTATTGTTTGTACATTTATAATGATAGTTAAGAAGAATAAGAATAATATCAAGAATATTAATAATATCAAGAAGATAGAACTTCATTATATTGATTTTATAATATTATTTAAAATATTGTCACTGCTTTTATTATAAAATGATTGGGTGGATTTAAGAATGAATTAAATAATCTTTTAAATGATGCATTTTGATACGGTTCCAGTATAATTTTAATTTTTTTTTAAATTATTTGGGAGTAATTAAACTTTTGTAAAATAGATAATTGATAACTGTAACTAGTCTAGCCATAAATACTGTTACATAAAAGTTTTTATTTTTTTTTTAACTTTTTAATTATTTTGAATTTGGAACACGTTTTATTATTTTAAAAACTTCTTTCGATTTCTCGCCATTACACATATTTTTTCATGTTCATTATCAAATTAAAATACGGCATTCCGTAAAGTTAAAGAATTGAATATTAAAGAGAGAAGGATTGCAGTGATTACTTTGCACAAAGCTATCGGTCATATTCCAGACACTTCAAAAGTTTGGTATCAGCCGGATGTTCGTATATCGTACTATCAACAGATACAACAACACTTCCTCTGTCGAAGATCAAAAAAATCAGGACGGCCGCGTGCTGTTAGAACTACAAAGACTGTTAATGCTATTAAAGCCAGAATTCGTCGAAACCCCATTAGGAAGCAAAAAACCTTATTGCGAGAAATGAAGATTCTCGCTAGGACTCTGTTGCGTTGCGTATTATAAAACAAGACCTAAAGCTCGGTGCTTATCGTCGATATTTAGGACATGCCCTAAATTAATCTTTACAATTAAAGAGAGTGGATCGATCAAAACGCGTTCTGTCACGATATGCAAGTGAAAGCACAGAAATATCCTCTTTACCGATGAAAAAATTTTCACTATTGAAAAACACTAGAAAAAGCAAAATGATAAAATATACGATCTCAATTCTAAAGAAGCTGCTTAAATGGTTGGAAAGGTACAACGTAGTCATCATCCTGCGTTAATGATTGTTTGGTGGAGCGTGTCTTATCAAGGAGTCATGAAACTACATTTTTGTGAAAAAGGAGTGAAAACTTCAGTCAAAATGTATCAAGATAAAGTCTTGGATCGTGTTATGAAACCTCTCAGCAATACACTATTTAAAAATATACCTTGAACTTTCTAGCAGGACTCTGCACCTGGTCACAAGGCACGAACTACCCAAACCTGGCTTAAAACCAACGTTTCGGACTTTATAAGAGCTAAAGACTGGCCCTCATCTAGCCCAGACCCCAACCCTTTAGACTTCAAATTATGGTTAGTTTTAGAGGACATGACCTGCTCTAAACGACACAGCGACATTTAATCTCTTAAAAAATCATTGAAGCAAGCAGTTTTCGCCACTTTCTTTGGAAACAGTGCGTAAACCCAAAGATTTATGGCATTCAGACAGATTAATGTATAAAAGCCAAAGGTGGCCATTTCGAATAGAATATATTTTTATTTTTTGTTAAAACTTTAATTAATATGTGGGTATAAATTTTAATAAAAAAATGCATTTTCATTTGTAACAGAACTTATGGCTGGACTAGGTATAATGAGTATCAATACCGAACCTACGTGAGTAGCTAGTGGTAAGTAAAGTTTTATCCCAATTGACATTTCAATTAAATTACATTAGATCGATTATCGTTGGACTATCTAATGATGATAATTAAAAATACTGACTGATACCTACCGACATTACTGTACTCCGATCTACTCGAGACTGTGGTTAGTGCAACCTAATCGATACGTCGAGCGAGTTAAGTACTTAATTACCGTTAAATAATTCGTGTATTAAAGTTCGCATGAACCACATTTATAATTTTAATTAGACGAGAAAAATAAAAAGCAAGTGTCTTTATTATATATACAAACGACCGGTTTCGAAATATTCTTAGACGTATTTATAAAATAGTAAGTAGAGATAATGTGTCTAAAGAACAAAATAGCGGAACTAAGTGGAAATATTTTAAATAATGACATATTATTTTATAGAACGTATTGATTAATTTCTTATAGTTGCATAAATGATACATACAGACTAGTTTTTTTTTATTGGATGATAATGGAATGGTATGGAATGGTCGCTTGCGCTAATGGTATACGCTGGCGGAGCACTAGTGAAGGATGATACGTGAGAATGAAAAAGCATGGCAGTTAGCCCATTATGATGAATACATCTGGAATTCAGCACGATGGTTTCCAGGGGGAACCACGAGGAGGTCGACCTGACAGGGTATATTGGTAGCCATGAGACTGGTAGTAGTTAGGTACCTATGTAATTAAAATAATGTCAAAAAATGTGTAACTAAACGATCACCAATACCGTTTTATTTTATAATAGAATAATCTGCAATTAAACTGTTTACTTTGAAATTAATCTTATATTTTCAAAGAGTTTATACCTATTTTCTTTGGATGAAAATTTGTCCTTCAGAGTTACTGTAAATTTGTTTTAAAAGTAACATCTGAGAGTCTTTTAACGGAAAACATTTTAACAAAATATCAAACAAACCATTGATGGAACAATCTCAGAGCAGTTAAAGTTATTATCCCCATTTCCAAGTAATATCATAACGATTAACTCCGTAGTATAGCGACAGTGCACACCTCTTTCTGCAATCAATATTTCGTATTTCTGTAGAATTACGTTAAGTACAATAGCTTTAAATTGCTCGTTTTATATGTTAATTAAGGATGTAATTAATCCATATATCAAATGTCACCTCACCAGTCCAAAACACAAGCTACGGCCCACCTGATGGAAAATGGTAAATGTCGCCTATAAAACATGAATATCATAGAATATACTATTTTGCCCATGTTATGTCCCATGCGTTGCTATTCCTGAGCACTCTAGTATTATCACGGTGTAGTCCTGGTATAGAATAGGCCACTCTTTCCTTTCCCGTGGGTGCCGTAAGAGTCGACAAACGTGGCAACTACTGGTCCTCCCCCTCCCCCATGGGGTAGGTATATGTTCAGCAGTGGACAGTTAAAGGCTGATATGATGATGATGATAGTATTACGGTTTAGTACCTTCTAATGTCACTGTCATATCTCTACCTTCAAACCATAACACAGTCATGTAAGCACTGTTGCTTTATGGCAGTGGTGCCGACGAGTACAGATGAGTTTTGTACAAAGACTTCTGATATACTTACTATATAATTTATACCACTATACCCACCGAAGGCGTGCTTCATTATTAAAAGAATAAGTTGAAATAAAGAAGAATATTAAGTCACATCCTCTTTCATGAGAGGAGGACTCATGTCCAACAGTGGGATGTCTAATAAATTGTTAATATATAATTTGTAATACTTCTAGGCCGTCGCCCCGCATTCATCGCATGCGAAGATACAGTTGTGAGATTGATTTCCAATGGTAAATTCTACAATTCCGTCACCTTGGCTTTTTCACCGCTACCTCTTGAGGAATTAGAACACGCTGACTTAATTTGTGGAATGAACGACTTGTAAAATGCTAATCGAAAATAATACTATGGCACAATTTTTGTAATTCATTTTCCTAAATTTTAGTTTACAATTTTTATTATTATATTCTCATCCATTTTAAATTCATTTAAGATACTTGTATTTAAATAAGCTTAATGATTAATACGAAGCAATGAAAACATGATAATGTAAATTACATCAAAAATTCAATTTTAATTGAATGTATTTATTATCTATTAGATTCGTATTCTTCTACAAAAACAATATTTAACAGAATGTAACATGGCCCACTGTAAGGCTGCCAGAGGGTCAATTTCGATTAAAATATTAAGTATAATGCAAAAGCAATAGATAATGCAATATTATTCCTTTTTTTACAAATCTAAAATTTGATTATACGGAATCAGTTTAAAACGTTGAGTTAAAAAATAAATAAAAATAACATATTTTTACATTGTACATGAATGATTATTTAATTTTATGAGGCACTTGTCTAAGGATAAATATTAAATGTATATCATTTAGCAAATATGTAAGTCCTACTCCAAAGGAATAGAAATGTCGGTCAACAGCGTCTGAGGTATGTATTAATTATGAAGGGTTCCGTAGCTATATACGAGGATTATGGATTTCAATTTAAGGGCGAGGTTCTCAATTTTACACTTTTTCTGTATGTATATTTTGTGATATTTCATCCATTTTAAATTTTATGACAAGTGATAAGGTTCACTCCCAAGTTGGCCACATAAAGATTAATTATTGAATTCTTTTTATGGACGAAATTTTTTATATAAAAATTATATAGTTTATTCACTATTATTTCGTAGCGTTTATATGTTTTTTTAATATCCCAGACAATAAGAGCTTTTTTAATAGTCTGGAGACTCCTATCTAAGGAAAGACAAATTATTTATATCCTTTTTAGTATGAAAGTCGAGAGTGTTAGACTGCAGTAGACTCGCAAATGCAATTTCTATTCATTATAACTTTGACTTCCAGGTTATAAAAATCCCTTTGGGAGAGAAGTCCACTCTTTGACTGTTTAAATATAAAACGAAAATCTAAAGCGTATGTGAAAAGTGGATTATTAAAAAATTTATGCAATTAATGTCACCCATCTATTAATTTGTTTTTCGTTAATCGTTGAATTGTAATTGTCCAACTATATAAAACTGGAAATCTAATATTAAATAGACGTAGAAGTAATCAATTGAGATATAAATACTAATTATTAAATTATACAATAAAAATCAGAATTCGATTTCTCATATTTCCTACGGAATCCTACAAAGGCATGAATTTATGATAAACAAATGAGTATTTATAAGTGTGCTAAGTATAACTTTTCCATTTAAGACTTATTGGCCATATATGTTAAGATTTATGTAATGCATTTAGGCAACTAGTTTTTGGAATTGTTAATAACTTTATCTAGTCATATATACAAAGTTAGATGAACGCAATACCAACGCCCTGATGCCATTGTCAATAAATTAACATTGTCTGTTGAATTGTTTTATTTTCACTTTGTGTGATCTGTGGCTTTACTCGCGAGGATTAGGATAAGAAATATTCTGTTGAGTCAGATACACAGGTTTTATTTTAAGTCGTGTAAATTGGACTGTATTGTACGAGTAACTACTTATATTTGTATAACAAATTTAATTCAAATCTTAACAGCAATTTTAATGTTATTGAGTAACAAATGTCCATTTAATATATCATATATATGAGTTAAAATGGCTCCCAATCCGACTTCGACATAATATGCACATCCTCTCCACTCTCTATAATATTCTTAATAATCCCAACTCTCCATCTTATCTCCGCTCCCGGTTTCAAATCCTGCCCCCTCCCACACGTCCCAAGCGTGCTTGCCTGTTCCAGTCCAAAGTTTTAGAACTCCCCTCTTGTAAGACCCATTTTTTTAGAAACTTTCACATTTCGTGCTGCGCAACTGTGGAACAGGCTACCTGCTGACATACGGGATAGTCCTTCCATTACTTCCTTCAAGAGAAGACTGAAATCACATCTTTTAATCAATTGTACATAATAATTCTATGCACTTATACATATGTATATATATTTATCTATTTACTTATTTATTTATATATTTATTCACAATAGTGTTTGCTGTATTTACATTATCTTCACTGGTACCTTTCCTGCACGGGATTACCCAAAGTAAATTATTTATAAGAATATATATATATATATATATATATATATATATATATATATATATATAATATATATATATATATATATATATATATATATATATATATATATATATATATATATTATTGGACTTTCATATTTATATCTACGAGGGTAAGGTGATAAGTTCTCGACCTGACAATGAAAGACTGCGATTTTCAGTAAAAAATATTTTTATTTTTCTACATAATCTCCCTATATCCCTATTCCTTTCCGGAAGTGAGAGTCTGAAAAGTTGTGAAAATATTAATTTACGGCCCTCTCAACTTCTTTATCGGATGTGAACTCAACAACAGTTTTTTTTAAATTTGGGAATAGATAGAAGTCTGAAGGTAGGTTAGGAGAATAGGGGGATGACCGAGTAAATCGTACCCCAAATCCAGCAGTTTTCCCATCGTCAACGCACCTTTGTGTGCAAGTCCATTTTAAAGAAAAATATGCACGACTTTACTGCAAAAATTCGTGTAAATAAATTATTTGAGAGAACAAGTTTCATCTTGTCATACGAACTAATGATACATGCACCTATGAAAGAAAAATATTTATTTGCTGATTAGAACGCCATTTCTGTGACAGGCTGGAAACCTTTCACTTTAAAATTAAAATTTAAAATTTTATAAACTTACTATGTTTGTTGTATCCGACAACTGACAACATTTCAACCTCGTCCATAAGACTTCTTCAGGATTAGTATTTCCATCACGTCACGCCTCGCACTGCGGGCTACAGCTCGCAGAGCCCGCGAAGGAATCGACATCGATAAAAAATTAAAATAAGTTTTAAAAATAATATTTCATAATAATTTAGTATTTAGTAGTTTAATAGCTATTCATTAACCTCTAGATAACGTAAATAATCGTAAAAAAACTTACAAAAGAATCCAAAACATCGCCTAGAGTTAATGAACTTCGCTATCGAATTACAATACATATTTCTTCCACTTAAGAGTATTTATTAATAAATTACATACGTTCTAGTATTTCAAGAAAAATAAAGAAATTAGGCTTTTTAGGCAAAGAGTTTATTTTAATAGATTATATTGAGAAGTAAATGATTAATTAAGATAGTTACTGCTGAATACCTGCTAATTTTATGATTATTAAAGATGCTTTATCGGATGAAATATTCTCTCAAATTGATGAAACTCTGTAATAATATGACCGATTATCTTCTAATGATTATATTCTAGCTGTTGCTATAACATTTTGAGGTACACCTTATCGAAAAGTATTCACACAATATCTAAGCTTTTGCCCTTGTATTTTTAGTAAAATACAGGTAGGTAGCGTTAATTGCAGTTTTCATATAGTTTTTAGTAGATATTAAAATATCACTAGATGGCGCTGTAACATCATTGCACGTTGCTATAAAAGGTTAGGTAAGTATTTATTTAGTTATTTATAAAAATTCGAATTTTTCAAATAAATACCTCATAAAAAAACGTTATTATATAATTTTTTTTAAAAAATACATGTATAGTTGTTTATTCTACGTAAGGAGTTTTCGGGAGTTTTAATTATACTAGACTCAATCCAAAACGTAGTCAACTTTTGTTGCATTTTGTTAATCTCTCTTCTCCTTCTCTTTCTGCCTTCTATACATTACTAAAAAAACATGTAATAAACTATTATTTTTTATAACATTTATAATATCTGAATATATAAAAATTGCATAACCGTTTTGAATAAAAATGTTTAACTTAAGAGAAGATAATTTGAAGTTTTAAACCCAATAATAAAAAACGAATGAATGTTGGATGGCGCTAAACGGCAAAACAAAGTTTGCCAGGTTCTCTTTTTAAATGGGTGACATTTGGAATGGTGACCCCGCCTGCTTAGTGCAGTATACACTGCGGTATACACTGAAGGGGTACTACTAGCCCATTGTGATGAATACACCTGGAATCCACCACGATAGTTTCCAAGGAGGTTATATCCCAGGATTGTTAGCAATGGGACTAGTAGTCCGCAGTACTAACAATCCTGGGGGGAAAAAGATTGTTAGCAATGGAGTTTGATAGCCCCATTGCTAGCAATATGCCCCATCAGGTCAACCTCCACGTGATTCCCCCTGGAAACCATCGTGAACAATTCTCGTTGAATTTGTCACGATGGGCTAACTGACCTGTTTCATCCTCATCTATCATCCTTCACTGGTACCCCGCCGGTGTATACCGATAGCGCGGGTGGGGTTACTATTTCATTATCACCTATAAAAAAATTAAAAATTACTAACAATCCCTTCCCCAATGTTTGCCACGTCAGCTAGTAACATATAATTCTATTGATCAGATTTCACTAAAAGCATTCCATAATATATAAATATTAAACTATAGCATGGGACATAAAAAACTTGTTTCTAAGGCATTTATTTATAGATTAAAGAATAGAATGTTAAAACGAGTATGTATATGAAAAGAAACGGATATAAAATCTGCCAGTACCCCAGCAACAAAACTAATGCAACTCGTCTTTGAATATTTTGTTTTTTGTTCTCCACACTTATTTAAGTCCAAACTCGTAATTTTCGCCCAGTCTGGTTTCAGCTGTAGATGGTGGTTTGGTTCTTATTCATTCAATTAAGAGTACGGTACAGACAAAGAAAATCTTTGAATTTGTAGTAGTTGCTATTCCTTTGTATGCTCTTGAAATATTAAATTAATTAATAAAGACTTATAGACCATTTATATAAAATATATATTTGATCTAAAAACGAAATTATTGATGGATCTATTTCTCTTTGATAACTGACTACTGTTACGGTCTTCAGCTAACAAAAGTTCGATTATGGTTATAGTTATGAACATATCAAAGAAAAGACCGGTTTTAATTAAATTTTATTGAGTAATTTCCTGAATAAAGATAATAATTAAATATGTAAAGCAAAACATTATAACTATTGTCTAACGTATTCAGATAAAAATATTAATTGTTCTCACTACAGTGAAATAAATCTTCGTGCAACTGTACAAACGAATTTACACAATGTCAGAACTCTAATAAACATCTAATTAACTGACATAATACATTCAAATTCTATGAGTTATATGATTAATTATACAATTTTCTAGTTATTTGGAAATTATGAGTATATTTTTTTATAGATAAAGGTCATGCGAGAATTGAACTAAGAAATGAAGAATCGCCTACAATGAAAGCTTTACAACAGCACACAGTTACGTTATATTCACACTGGCCGAACTACACTCCATTACAGTATACCAACCAGACTCCTTGTTGTTCCTATTATATTTATCACAAAACATGTACAACTGTAATAATTCGTACTTACACATTGTCTTATAACTTAATAAACATCGATGAAATAATCGTATGGGCCAAGTGCAAACAATACGCAACAATTTAAAACATTGTTATGCAGATATTGTCAACGTCATTCGCATTTCAGTTGTATTTAGTAGTACAAAATCAATAGTGTACACTCATTATGTATACATACATATATTAAAATTAGCACCTAATTTGTAAAGCAGTACCTACTACAATTGTTTGCGTAATGAATGTAAGCTTCATTACATAATTAACATTGAACATTTACTTTAACTAACAAATAATACCATATCTTCTAATTTACTACACATAAAAGAGACATAAAATATAAGTAGTTTTGAATTCTATCAATGGTTGACTGCTAAATTGTGGTAAGTGTATTTTGACTTATTCAGTACCGTGCATTTGGAAAATCTCTTAATAATACTGTATTTCTTGATTACAATACCGAACTATGAGAAATGTTATATGTTACATAAATTACTAATGGCAATCACATTCAATCTATCAATATTAAATTTATTCTAAGCTACATCTATTGAGTAACTTATAGACAGTTATTTTAGTACGTAACATCTAAATAATTTTATTTTTAGTTTTAAGCATTGGAATTTAATACTTTTTTTTTTTATATTGTATAAAATTAAGTTTGATTCATCATGAAAGCAATTTAGGCCTCAACTGAAATGTAATAGAAAATTTGTCAAGTAAAGAAGATTAGGTATTGTGTATAGGCGTTAAATATATAATTTTTTAGGAATACATTGATAAAGTAAAAAAGACCTAAACTCGACCAGGGGTTAAACAACTACTTTTATATTAATTTGCATACTGATATATGTCACATAATGTGATTATTATATAGTTTTGATCTTATTATTTTAAAAATATTCAGCTTTAAAATTGTACTAACTAATCGGAGATATACCGTTACACTACCGTAGTGTAAGAGGCGATAGATTTGGATTTAAAAAATAACATCATTTTTTACATAGTAATGCAGCGGACAAAAATAACACTGACTTGCTACCTTAAAGTTTACATTCCTTAATTAGATCACTTTACATCTTATATTTATCTAATTAAAGCTATCCCATACAACTTCTCAAATTGTGCTTAATTCGACGAAAAAGCGAATGGTGTACTTGTGTTTTCTTTGACAATAGCCTTTGTCGATAAAGCAACAACTGTTTAATGGGTACACATCCGTTTTTCTGAATTCCATGAACTTGGTAATAAATACGATGCGTTCCGTTTTCTCACTTTATACGTATCTCCACTTCATTATAAGTATTTATTAATACTTCCATTGAAATACGCCTCGTTCTATAGTGTAGGTATTTTTTTAGTGACTATTCGGGGCATGTTTTGACTATGAAACAAATGTGTAAATATTATTTATTCTTGTAATTAAAAAATCAATATTGTTATTTACTGCAAAAATGGCAGTAGATATATTAATTGAATAATTATATGTAAATTAAATTAAGTCAAATAATTGCTTGTACTCTTAGCTATAATTTAGTGATATTTAGTGATATTACTTATCATGTTGTTGGTATAAACAGCTGATATTGAAAACTGGACGCGTACCGCTATATTAAATGTGACAATAAAGAAAGGTACGACACATGTCTACATTGTGCTCAATATTTGTATTCAATAACATCTTTATACACTAAACATTGATCTATTTTATATAACGTGAATTTTCAAATTAACATAAACGTCTACACACTAATGCCGTTTCATACTTCTATGCAAAATATCTGATATTTACTTATAAAGTACGTTTACCATTTCCATCGTGATCCCAATACATTCCAGGACACTTCCAAGGATAGTAATTGACAATCGCATATAAATATTTAACGCTAAGTGTCTCTTTAGTATAAATTTTATTTTAAAGTATAAAACATTCTATTTAGGTAATTCATAAGATACTTTTCACTTAAAGCATTATTAAGCTACAGTTTAGGTAGGGACAAAGGAAAATGCAATCATTTAATTTCAGTATAAATTGAGTTAGATTTACGATTTATTATGATTGTTGTATATAGTATAGTTATAGGATACCTCTTGTAAATAGAAATGCTTGTAAAAGTATTGAGGTCATAGATAAGTATCAAACATCTCCATTTCTATAGTACTCTTCAGCCCTTGCGAAGTAAACTGATCTTTATTTATTTATAGCTAGTAAACAAAATAACTCTGCGACGCGCATGAAAAATAACAAGGCTTTTCATTATTATTAATGCGGGCAGCAGGCTTATTTTATTTTCTAGTAGTATAGTTACATTACATAAATACACATACGTACATTTTACTGTTTAGACTATTTCAAACTCTTGCCGATTGTCACTCTCTCTGGTAGATAGTGACAATACAATAGATATCATTCGGCAGTGTATGTTTTTCTGCATTTAAATCGTGACAAATAGCTCTAAGAAACAATCTATTTATTGAACATTGTGCTCTATACTTGTTTCTTTGTTATACATAAATATTAGGTATAATAGATACGTACACAAATAAGTCTATATAGTGTTTAGTATATTGTGACTATTCATAAGAAGGGATTTATTTACAAAATATAATATTATCTGTTCGAAGTCATAAGAATTTGGAGTTCATAAGATCTTCAAGTGGTACAAATTTATAGCTTCCTAAATAGTAGTAAATATACATAAATATATTGATAAAAATTCGTCTCACAGTATACGCTCGACTTTTATATTTGCTTTATCAATATAAAATTCTAAAATTTTGCTACAATAAAGATATGTAATTTGCTATTTAAGCAGAGGCACATGTTGATATGTAAAGTGATATCCCATGTAGTGTGTGAAAGCATGGCTTCAACAATCAAAGCTGACATATAATTCTCTAAAGTTAATAGATTACACACACATACTAAGGATTTTACCTGTCAATTTCTCGAATATTATAACATGAAACATATAATTATTTTAATACGTCAAACAATCAAATAAACTACTACAGGAACGTCCTAAAATAAACAATTTCCGATAACACAAGTAATATTTTTCTACACTACAAATATATTATATACAATTTCAAATGAACTTTTATAATATTTAAGAAATAATACAAAGTATTGTATGTATATAATAGTTAATTATCCATTACCTTCTTCCAAACAATACCGTAATATTGGATACATTCACATTATTATTACCATACATTACAAATCTTTGTATACGAATACCACGAGTTCACATTTCTCACCAATTATGGTATTACAACCAGTTGACAATCAATAATTCAATTGTTCATATCAAAGTTCAATATCGGAACATGGTTTCTTGTCCTCTTTGTAACTCTAATAAATTCTATTTCCACGAAACACTTTCTATAACTGTAAATAATTTTTACTATAAAATAAATCGCCTAAAACTCCATATAACTACATTGTACTAAGCACATTTTATTTCACTGTCTTTGAAAATATACTTAATAACGTTTGAGCTAGAATATAAATTACAATGTGACAGTCGTAGCTAGAGTCGTAAGCAGCGCTATGGGCAACGTAGTTCCAGCTACACTGCTATAAGGGCCCGTGACTGCGCCATCACATGGGACGTGCTCCAGTTCTGAAAAACATAAATAAATAAATAAATAAATAGGTACTAAAAGATACAACTTGGTTGAGATTGGAAGCAAAACTATTTTAATTGTCATAACTATTATACAGGTACCCACATCAATTGACTTAATCAAATTACCCATTATTTTTATACATAACAGGTACCATTGGAGATTTTACACAGCGCGGTCTAGTTCTAAACTAAGCAGAGCTTGTATTATACATATATATTGTATTATACGTATATACCCGTGCGAGGGCGAAAGCTCAGGACAAGTTACTAGTCGCAAATAAAATACAACTTTAGTAACTGTTACTGTGTACTAAAAATCGAAATTTGAAACATTTAAATGCTTTTTCATGTTGCATTGAAACTTTCAATGTACACTTTTATAGAGATTGATTTACAGTGTATGCAGTGATTTTATGGAATAAATAACGTAACAAAAGTTCCAATTACCTACTGTACAAATTTTTTTTTTTTTACAACTACAGTTACCACCTAATTTTCTTTTTCTCAACAACATTTAAATAGAAAGTTTTTAAATAAAACAATTGAAACATTTCAAATAACTGTTTCTTATTTTTGACAGAGGTAAACATTTAATGTATGAACTTTATAAGGTTTTTGAATTCGGTTGTAATAAATTTTTATCCGAGATATGTTGATTATCAGGATAATTAGTTTGTCTTTCCCTATCAGAAATAGAACGTAATATATAAAATTTTATGACAGCTAGTTGAACCGTTATGACATCAAGAGGTAGAAACAAAATAAGAAACTTATAAATAAAACTTATAAATAAAAATTTATGGGTATATAAATTATGGGTTAAAGTGATAAAAATGAAAGTATAAACCCAATATTAGTAAGGATTTTAAAGTATCGATATGTTATACTTTATTAATTAAGTTACAAACATAAAACTCTTGCAATGGAGTTAAACTATCGGCAGACAGATAGAAATAAATAAATAAATAATAACTGTACTATGGACTCGTCAATTATGAAAATAAAGTGTTAATTGCGAATATTAAAATAGATTTAAATATTTATAAAGTATAAAGACATTCTCGAGAATCTAAAAATTATTATGACGTAAAAAAATGTTCAACCATTAAGCTTGTTCAGGAAATCATTCCAGAAGGCGCAGGCCGAAGCTCTAGGTCCACGAGGGCCGGCAGGGCCGCTAGGACCGTCAGCGGTGTACGTGTAGTAATGAGGCGATGATCTCGAGTACAGAGGCCACTTTTCGTCAGGTTTGTGTGGTTTCCTGTAATTATATAAAATGGAAAATTAATATATGAAATATATGAATTTTAAAAAAATCAGGTTTTTTTTTATCGCAACTTAGAATGGCAAACAAGCTGACGGCCCACCTGATGGAAAGTGGTAACCGTTGCCTATAGACATGAGCAGTACCATGGACATAACAGAGTATACTTTTTCGCCATGATACCTCCCATGCGTTGCCACTCTTGAGGACACAGACGTTATTCCTCTGTACCCTGTAAATTCACGCCATAACTCACCCTCCAACCGAAACACAGTCATGCAAACACAACTGCTTCACGGTAGAAACATGAATGGGACAGAGGTACCCAAGCAATCGACTTTTGTACAAAGTCTCCCTCTGGTGAGCTTCATATCGAGGTTTACGTTAGAAATACAGTTTAGGATATTTAAAAAGTATGAAAAATACTTTTATGATACGTCGAATACATATAATATATATAAATTTATATTTATATAGGTATATTTTATCCTTAGTGTGTATTGTAAAAATTCTTTTATGTAACCATTTATCATCAAACCTGTATGTTTGCATTTTAGCGGAATCAAATTATAGTAGTCACATACATATACAAGCTGGTATTTAATAAAAAAAAGAACACTTATTCACCATTTCTATGATGTTAAAGTATAAGTAGTTTGCAGATATTCAGAACAAAATACAATAAAATAATACCTCTATATATTTATTCTAGAACCTTTCTTCTTATATTTATAACGAAATAAGATCACTTCAGAGAAATTCTTCCTCTCGTCTTGCGTGAAAAGGCGGAATCGATAACTTCATTATCTGCTATTGGGTTCGTTAGGACACCACGCTTGCCTTTAGCAAAGCTTACATAAAGAGGTTTATTTTATGTACCTACTCACGTATGATACAGTAACGGTGGAAATCAAATAAAATATATCGAAAGTAAACATTTCGTGTCTAAAATGACGCTAAGTTACCGTGTGTTTTGTCGTTGTCTCATAGTATAGTTCTTATGTAATCCTGGCATATAGAGATGGGCAATCCACCTGGGTGGGTTTAAAGTCTGGTGGGTAAAAACCGGGTGTTTTGGGTTTATTGGGTTTAAACCCCATAAACACCCAAATTTTTGGGTGTTTATGATTTTGTACTTCATCATCGTCATCTCAGCCGCAAGACGTCCACTATACTGGACATAGACAATATTATTATGCAGCCTACAGAATAAAAAACTTTTAATTTGATTTTGAGTTTATTAAGAAAGAGATGAAAGTAAAATGTAAAACTACAGTCAATCACTGTCAGATTCAGAGTTATTACAAGCGATGAATTGTATAGGTTCGATAGGCTCTATTTCGTCTAAACTGTTATGTTCATTTACTTGCTCAATGAAAGCTTCTAAGGTATTTTCTTCATTAAACTGAATGTCCTCGCATTCAGCTTTATGTTTAAGATTCCAGTTATAACAAATGAATGAAATTTTTTCAGTTCTTTCAGTTGTAAGTCGATTTCTTTTGTTATTATGTATGTAGCCTTGGATACTAAAGGAACGCTCAGTGGCTGCCGAAGTACAGGGAGCTGATAGAATACGAATCGCTACTTTGCTTAACTCAGTGGAACCACAAATACCTTTCCACCATATTAGGGGCTCAATGCTATCTAATGAGCTCCATACAAATCCTCTGGCCCAAAAGTTTTCTTTAGCTTTATAACACGCCAAATCTGCCATTACATTTGACAAACTTAAGTGTTGGCTTAAATTGTAGATAAACTCCATACCCTTAAGTTCTTCCTCTTGAGTAAGTTCGACTCCTAGAGTCCTGGGGTCTAGAATATATGCTGCAAAATGTATTGGCCTCATTGCCATATTGCATCTTGAAGATACTGATGTTAGAATCTGCTGTTTGCTTTCTTCGCTCAATGTCGAAATCTCATTTAATGCAAAACGTATCTTAGCTTGTACATCTCTAAATGTAATGTATGTGCGATGCAAACGATTCTGGTCGCTCTCTAAGTAAAATATGCTTTCAGTGACTGGTTCCAAAATACTTATACATTCCCCTGTCTTCGTCCAGAAATCATCACTTAGAATTAAATCTTTAATATCTCTTGAAATTACCACATCTTCTCTAACTGTTAATATTTGCAAAGCTATCTTATTTGCTTTCAAACTTTTTAACGAAGTAACATGACTTCCCCATCTTGTAGCACAAGGCAATTTTAGTGTTTGTGTAGAATCTTCACCCTGCCTTGATTTTATCAACAAGGAACTTAATCGTTGACTCCTTTTAACAGTTTTTATTATATTTATGGCTTGCATAATAAACACAGTTACTTCTTGTATCTTTACAATATCTTGGCACAACAAGTTAAGGATATGTGCACAGCAACCGAGAGGAACAACATGTGGATATTTGAGTTTTGTTAATTCGAATGCCTTTTGTATATTTCTAGCGTTATCGCCAATAAGTACAAGAAACTTATTTGCTCCATACACTTTCATTACTTTTTCAACTTCTTGGCTAAGGTATTCACTAGTGTGAGGATTACTTTCTGTATTCAAACTTTTAACGTATGCAGGTTGAGGTTTTGATATAAGAAAGTTTATTATTCCTTCATTTCTTAAATTAGACCAGCCATCGCACTGAAGGTGTAAGTAACTACAAGCATTTAGTTCCTCATTTAACTCAAAACGCATTTCTCTATATATTTTATCTAAGTATTTTGTCGCTAAAGCTTTACGTGAAGGTATTTTAAATTTTGGTTGCAATTTTTCGAAAAATTGTATCCATAAAGGATGTTGCACCATCGATAATGGCGTCCCTGTTACAAATATAGCTCTCGCTAATTCTGTTTTTATATGATCATCGGTGTCTTGAAACTCAGCATTTATTGTAGTGTTAGCAGACGACGAGGGGCTTATAAAAGAATCATTTGTCTCTATCTCTGACAGTCCAGACATTTTGGTTTTGGACGAGCTATCTTTTATAAGTTTCATAGAGTCTTTTAATGTTTCTGGAGATTTTGGACAAGTGATAAGATGTTGAAGCATTTTGGCAGCATTACTGAATTTGTAGACCTTATTACAAAGCTTGCAAGAAACAGACTTGTTTGGTAAAGTACGGTAGTGCTCCCATATGCGTAAATCTTTATTCTCCCCATTGAACCTAAAAAAATGAACGATGATTAGTTGGTCTGACGAAAATTCAACAATAGAGTGCCTATTTTTTTACAATGATTATTTCTTGTTATTTACAATAAATTTATTAAAAAAATAATAAAATAAATACAAAAAACCTTTGTAAAATTACATCTCCTCGGAGGATTAAACGCAGACGCTAGTTTATTATCGTATTGTTCTGTATTTTTCTCAGCAACTTCTTTAATTCGATTAGGTACTTACGCATATTATGTTAAAAATAAATATCTAGTACACATCTTAGGCTATCCACCATTATTATCCAATGACGACTCTCAGCTAACTATGCACTATCATCCAAAATAAACGTGTATGGAAAATTTTATCCCAGTCGGTTGAGGATTGAGGATAATTGCATCAACATACGAACATACCTACATACTTTTATTTACATAACGCAAGCTAAATAAAAGCTTGTAATAATACATCTAATTTTAAGTTAAAATTGTTAAGTGATCATGATATAATTGTATCATTCAAAAATCCACTTACCTTTAATTATTTCTTGTTAAGTATAAATATTATTTCAAATCTGCTCCCTTAATATGCACTTTTTTACTGCTTTTCCTACCTAACACGTTACCAGGAAGTCACGTTACTAGAGTCAGAGTAATAGTGAACACGTTTGACAGTGATTGTCGTCGCCTCATATTCAGCGTCGACGAATAGGGGAATCCCCAGTCATAAGGTATTGCATGCGTGGCGGTCTTACTTCAAATCCATAAACAAAGAGATAATTACAGAACTCGATACTAGATGGCGCTGTTTTTGTTTGAAGAAAGTTTGCGGGCTAAAATACATAGAATTTCATCAATGACTTCCACAAAGAACAACATTTCTGTTTTTTCTAAGTCCGTATCTCTTCCGTATATTTCATAAGATATAAGCTTGGGCTACATTGTTATGCAACGTGATTTTGTCGCTGTCTTGCTAGCAGGGTTGACAGATATACGATTTAAATCGTACTCATACTATTATTTGTCTATTTTTTAATGTACGATCGTAAAGATTATGATCGTAATTCGCACAAAAATATACGACTTTTTGGTTACCTGGCAACATTTTTATTATGAAACGAACATGCTCACATCATCAGTCACATGCAACAATTTATTGGGGATTTCCCCTTCACATCTGGCAGTCCTGGACATAACTTGCTAGAATATAGGTAAGTCAGCCACAGTTACTGACGATCGATATTTAAAGGGTATTGTTTTTGTGCTAAATATTTCATAAAAACGTTATTTAATACTTTGTGGATTATTAATTTAGTTGATAATCACTGGAAGTAAAATGGATGCTAATTTGAGAGATCAAGATCTTCGTATAAAACAGTTAATAAAAGAAAATCTACGTAAGTACTCTTTTTATACCTAGGTAGGTAAGGTATAATAAACACAAAAGGTACTTAGATCGTGTGTGTTCGAAGCATTTATTCTAATAAATTTAATTTAAAATTATAGAAAGAAAAAAATGTCTGCCAAGCCGTAGCCGAAGCCGATCTCAAAATATATTTGGCGATAGTGAGACCCAGTGTCCAGATGATTTACCCAGCGTCGTCGAAACAAATAAAAAAAAACGAGGATAAAGTAAAAGAAAATTTACTGAAAGAAGAAACAAACTGTTCTAAATGCTTAATTTATGGAGAAGAGGATAAAAGAAATGAGTATTTCGGACTGTTAGTGGCTCAAGAATTTAAATATATACGGCCATGTGTGCGAACGAGGTGTTATGAAGAAATTTTAAAGTATCTACGGGAAGCAAAAGGCCAACATGTTGATCAACTGCAACATGAAAACACTGAAAATTAATTACTTTCATTTTATTATATATAGATTTTTAAAATTTCCTGAAATATTATTAGTTAACGTTTTATTTAATATTGTAGAATTGATCAATACAATTTATAAAAATAATTTATTGGTATTACTTACATATTTTCAAAAAAATACGTAAAAACCTATTTTTTTGGGTGATTATGGGAGTTTATGGGTGTTTATTGGGTTTTTACCAAAGCACCGGGTTTAAACCCGGTGCTTTGCCCATCTGTACTGGCATAGAATAGGTAACCTTTTTCTTTCTCGTGGGTGTTGTAAGAGTGGGCAAGGGATGGGCAACAGCGTTCCTATTAAAACATCTTCAAAGCTTAAGTGCGGTTGCCAATGCGCCTGCCAACCGTGACAACTGGCAAAATCCCCAAGTGGAAGGAAAAATGAATCAGCAGTGGTTAAAGTCTAATATAATGAAACTTATCGTGCCAAAAACTTACAACTGTAAAGCATAAGGAGACTATACAAAAGCCGTTCTTCACGAGTACCGTTGTCGCACTTGTATTTCAGCTATGTAGCAGCTGCCGTTGCGTGGTTGTATTTGGTGTTTCATTAAAAGTTTCGTGTTTGGTTTAAGTAATATGTAGCATTAAAGAAAATTACAATTTTGATATCTATAACTATTATCTAGACTAGTTGTTTCGACTATTTAGTCGAAAAATATTTTTATCATTTAATATTAGGCACAAGACAGACAGAAAAAAATTGTAGGTACTCTATATAGATAATATTTTCATATACATAAATAGTAACTTGTACAATAAGACTTACCCAGTAAGAGCAAATCTGGTAAATGACTGCATGATATGGGCAGCCAAATCTCGTTCTCTCGTGTGGTACTGCAAGGACATATTCAGTGGATGTCCAAAGACATATTCCATTTCATCTCCATGCATGACACCCATCCATTCACCCCAAAGACTGGTGCTCGTGCGCTAAACAAAGAAAGAAAGAATATTTACTATAAAATAATATATAAAATTAAATAAATAAAGAAATACCAAACTTATGGTTTTACATCATATGAATGAGATAGAAAAAGACAATAACATACGACTTTCCATTCTTTCTCTTACACGTGGTAACGAAAAAATATTTATCAATAGATACGTTTGCTACTTGATTATGAAGGCAAGTTATTAAAAAATAATACATTTTCTACATGCTTACCCTAATAATAAAACTGTTGTGTACACGGAATATCATTTTATATGTATATTGTGTTGACTGTCTACCCGCGAAACCATCACGCAATAATTTCAGTTGTATTTCGATAAAATTTGCCGTAATGACAACTCAGTACTTTGGTTCCCTTTTAAGATACTGTCTAATGCTTGAACATACCTCATTTCTTTGGAAAATATATAACCAAATAGATGATGATTCAGTAAATAACAGAAAATGTAAAGACATATTTTACAAGTTTAAATTTATTGTTGTTCATTTCTATTCACTACCTATTTTACGAAGAGGTATTTAATTTATTACATTAGATATGACAGGTTGAGTCTACTGACATATTGCATGAACGATATTGATGGCACAGTCATTAAAATATAGAACAAAAGCACTTAATGTTTGCGTATGATTTAAAATAATGATTACAATCCATTAAAATTACATTATTTATTCCGTTTACATTATGCTTTTAAATGTGTAGCAGTAGCTATAGTTGTCACCAAAGTACCATTTAGGTAATTATTATAGGTACTCGTAGGTACAAACATTAAAATAACATTTTTATTGGCCTCGGATATAAAAATCAAGGTTATTCCCTACTATTATATATATATATATATATATATATATATATATATATATATATATATATATATATATATATATATATATATATATATATATATAACTAATATAATATAACTAGTAAAAATTAATAGCTTAAAATGGTTAATGTATTTATGATGACTTTTTTGATAAGTTGGCTTAAAGAAAAATATACATATAAGAAAGGAAGTATTCCAGGATACGAGTAAAAATTTCTCTTCTGTTTGTTTGTTTATATAATACAGTATGTACAGTCTATAGAAAAGAATATTAAGAAAATAATAAAAATTTTATACTGATATTCATGCATATAATAAAAAAACATATCGAAATCTGACTCGTAGATGGAGAGTGACCGGTCATAAAATATAATAAATAAAGAAATACCAATATCCCTATCATAAAATATCCGAAATGTATCATTGTAACATTGCACTTCATTCGTTATTTTAATATTTTTGTTTTGATTGGGTCCGAAATTGCGAAAATATTTTCATGGTATATAGGAAGAATTGTCATTGATTCTTGTTGAAATTGTACAACAAAAGTAGGCATACTTTGTTCAATCGAATTTCCTTGATTACAGTACTGCTTCAATCTTTTCTATCCACGACGTAGACTCATTTGTTTATCCAAGGCTATCAGAGCTGAAAGTTCTATTTGATATAGAACCACAAGTTGGCACATTGTCCAAATGGCTTGCGTGGCTATATCGTAAATATCTCGACTTTTGTCAAGGACTCAAAACCGACTGACTTTAATCGTAGGTATTTTAATGCAAAATGAGCCACTATCGTGGCCTTGTATTGATTATTCTATTACAGTAATTGTTAGCTCTATAACCTAGTCTTCAATGTATAAAACTTTTATTGTTTGAAAATATGACCAAAGTTGAAACAAGTCATAAAATATTACAAAAGGTCATTATTTTTTGGTGCTGCAAACGTAGTCAAATTAATAAAAGTTGACATAGAATGCTTATAATTTTATTATGCCTGTGTGTCTATCAGACTATCAATATTACAGAATTTTAATTGTCAGAAACCAGAATTTTACAAAAAATTGTGGTTTCTGACAACAAATACATTTAACAGATAAACAAATTTTGTATAAATAATTTGCATGCTATTAAAAAAAAATATTATGGAGCCCTGTTCATTCAAGACAGACACGATCTTGATAGATTGATTGAAGAAAATTTTAGATTTGATACAGAATACAAATTTTAACCTAGTTTCAATACATACTAATAGTGTTCTATACCAATAAGCACCTACATTTCTCCCCTAATTTTGTGAGGCAGTGAAGTGTTTGTAAGGTGAGGACATACATAGGTAAACAACCTGATTTTCTACGCTCATTCCTTTTCCTTGACTCTGGCTTATTTATCTTCAAACATCTATTGAATTAGGACTGGCTGTTTTTTCGTTTACTAAATTATAATTTATTATTTTTCTATACATATATAAGTATTTTTTTTAGTTAAATATTTTTTGATAGTTATTAAAAATAACACTCCTCTATTTATATACAGGGAGTTTTTAATTTGTCCATCTACATAAAAAAAAATGTTGGAAAGCGCGTTACTTGATAGAAGGAGATGTTTAGCAAATTTTTAGGGTTTCGTAACAAAATGGTGCAAATGAACTCTTATGGCGTGACTTCATTTATCCATTCGTTTATCCTTCTATACGTGCCTCTGTCATAGTTTTAGTTACTAGGAAGTGAAATCATTGATTTTAAGTTTAGAATAGTTTTCGGTATTATGTTTAATACAAAAGGAATAATTGTCAAAAGATCAATCGCAATAAAATAAACATAGGACTGATACGGAAGTGATCACTCCTATTTAATTCTATATAGAAATGATTTTTTTAAAAAAATAATTTATATATACAAATGATTTATTGTCATTATTTGAAACAGAATTCTCCATCTCGAATTTTTATTATCTAAATTTCATCTTACTGGTAAGTGATTGATTCATTACAATGAACTGGCAACATGCTTTTTCACTTAAATCAATATATAATAGATACCTGTTTCAATGCGTGTGCAATTATACATATATACAAAGTTATAACCACCAGAGTAATAATAGCACATTACGCCTAAAGTTTTTAATTAGTATTTTCTCTAGATTTGATTAATAGATTTTATTTTTGAAAGATATATTAGTCATGTTTTAGTTACAGATTTTTTTAAATCTAATTCTTATATATTTTTTTATATTTATAACAGACTTGAGTATATTAAAACTATTATTATTAAAATTAAAAGTATTACATAATATGCAGGATAATACTATATATAATAAAGGTAAAATTAAAACGTTTAGTCGTACTTAAAAATTAAAAACGGCTCTTACTATGCTAGAATGTAAAATATAATAGGTCAAACATTTCGTGAATTCAAAAATGATTAAATCTTTTGAACATCCATAAAAATTTAACAGGTGGACGCTATGATAGAATAGGCCTCGGTTTAATGTTTTCATTTCAATTCGTTTTGGATAATAGAAATCCAATACCTCTACGTATTTCATTATATATTTTATACATCACATTCGTGATCTTATCTAATAGATCTTTTGTCATCCCACGATCTCTATTCATAATACTTCTTAGATCTGTCTTTCGGGCTATATATTATTCATATGTTACACCTATTATAATTTCAATTTAGCCACTCACATCAGTAATTTTACTGTATCTTAGAAACTATCGATTTGTTTTTTTGTCACTAAATGTGACGCCTACAACCTTTTTATTCATTGCTCCTCCAAACACTGCTAATTTTGAAAATATGTCTTTTCGGTTCTATATGTGAGAACCGGTAGGATGCATTGTTGAAAATTTAAAGTTCCTTGCAAGCTATTACTGCCTACTCTATATAAAAGATGAATATCTATTTGAGAATAATTTTAAAAACTTGAGCGTTGTTCATTTAAGTAAGATTTTCGAGTCGGGCGTTAAATTAAAAGTTCATTTGCTCCGTTTAATAATGCATGCGACGCGGGCGAGCCAACTTTATGCGTCGTCAGGTATACCTGTAATATGTATGTACATACTACATGCTCGTAAAAGGTCAGCTCGCATGAAATGTAACATTTAGTATAATTTCATTACAATGCACTGTTTTATGTAATTGTTGTACCTATCTTTATTATTATACTGCATGAATGTCATTTGTACCTACATGTATGTATGTATTAAGTATACAGTATTCCTTCGTATTAATAATAATAATATAATAATATTAAACATTATTAACAAATACAGGGTATTATTAATTTAAATGATTAAATGAATTTGAATCATTTATGCTGACAAAAAAAGATAATATCTATGGAACGCATATAAAAGGCCTAAACGTCTATGCGGCAGTCATAAAATACTCTATATATAATTATACAACTTTGTCAATATAAAAAAAACTTTTCCTACCGTAAAAGATAATGCATAAAAAGTGAAGTTTCAACGTATTTCTCAAGTTTTATGGAGATCGTAATTGAACGAAATTACTATTAAAAAAATTCATATCCAAAATGTAAGTTTTAGTAAGACTACCATAGATTACTATAAAAACATAGTTTAGAAACTTGATAACATTGACCATATTATTAACTTACTAAACTCTGAAATAGAATAGGTTATTTCACAGTATAGGTTAAAATCCCACAATGCTGGCTACACCTGTACATAATACATTTACTCTATTACCTACCTCGTCTCTAGAATTTAAAAATAAACAACTACATTAAATTGTACATTCAAGAGAATCCGTCCCAATAGAACTCTTTACATTAAAGAACTTTCTGTAACATAGCATTTTACAACGTCGACTAAATTCATGCGATAATTACTTTTACTAAAAATTTTGTTATTGCTAATGACCTATATGACACCTATCTTCAACCAATTGGGGCAGACAGAAATGGCCGCCACGTGTTTTGATTCTCAGCGCATCTATTTAATATAAATTATAATTTATATATACGTGACTATCTTTTTATCCGATTACCTAAAAAGATACTATTAAAAAACAAAAGAATTTTAAAAACATAATGATTTCCATGCTAAAACATTTACGCTTTTTGAATGCATTAAATTATTTGAAATTAAAGTGCAAAATTATAAGTTTCTTTTAT